GTCAGGCAAGGTCATGATAGGAACAATGGATGGTGTAGCATTAGAAGCAGTGGCAATAGAGGAAGAAGCCATTATTAAGCAAAGAAGCAAAAGGAACAAGGAGAAAAAGTTTAAGGGTCAAGGAATGGCAGAGAAAACAAGAAGGACTGGCAAGAGAAAGGAAGGAAAAAATTTATATTGTCAAGAGGGCAAATAGAAATGAAATGACATTTTAGTCCTCTTTCAATTGTGCCACGTGGCTTAGTTACCAGTAACTAGCACGTGGGGGGCATTGTTTGGGCTAAAACTGAAACGTCGTTTACAATTCCTATAACATAAAATGGGCCAAATAATAAAAGAGTCATGCCTAATAAGTGATCTAACAATAGGGATAGTCTAAATCATAATGAAATAGTTTGTTCAGAAAAGCACATGCCTTTGAATCCCTTAAGGCTCAAAGCCACTACCTAGACTGTTGCAATATACAAAGCCATAACCTCAATGGGCCCCGAATCTCACAAAAGCATTACCATTATCCACCAATATCTCGAAAACATGGGTTGACAATTAATAACAAAACGTATTGTGAGTAGAAAGACTGTGCCATAAATCTCGTGAGTTGTGCATATTGAATCCCTAATATTTTGAGAATGAGTTCTAAATTCCATGGGAGAAACCGCCTCAGCTAGACCATTATAAAAGGAAGAAGAAGGTCATAGAAAAAAGGACAAACAACAACACATTTTCAAACACCGAAATCCTTTATACTTGTAGCTCTTATATTTATCAGATAACTTTTAGTTTCATTTTCAGCCTTGTAATCTTTACCACTTTGTAATTTGACTTTAGCATTAATCAAACACTTGTTATTCCAACTGTTGTGTATCTTCTATGTTCGAATAAATTGTGGTAAGGGAGTTTGAAGACCTCTTGCTATTATTTGAGACTGAACATCTCTAGCACACCTGATAATTTTGTTGTTCATGACAAATAACTTTTTTAATGTCATGACATCACAATTTGGTGCTGCAATATCATTAGGCAAAATTTAATTTGCTATGAGCTTCAAAATTGTCAACTTTAGGTCCATAAATTGGGCCTCCCTATATGAATAAAAGCCAGATTTAATATCATAATTGATCCAATAATTTCTACAATTGTTTTGAACTTTATTCACCTCTAATCTCATAAATAATTATCCAATTAATCATATATTTTTTAATTAATTCCATAAGATGACTTCAATTATATTAAAAGACTCTAGTAAATTCATTAAAATATTGAAAGTCATCAATAACCTTTTTATATAAAAATATAAACAATTTTTTTTAGAATTTGTTATTTCATTCACTTAAATACATACAACAATCTATTTTAATTCATAAAATTTTGTACACACCTAAATTGAAAAGTGAAAAATATATGTTTTCATTTGTTTTACAATTTGTTACTTACACATGTATAAACAACTTATTTTATGAGAAATTCTTAGGTAGATCGAGTGCACACGTCGTTTGTGATTTGTCTAATTAGAATGTCCCAGTTCATTTAAATAAAATCTTATATGACTTTATTTTAATTGATTTTATTCTTATAACATAATGCATGTTTAATTTTTTTTCCTTTCTTCTCTCTATTGTCATTAATATAAGAATCAATTTATATTTAATACCATTTGAATGTCATGTTTTACAAGCTGAGTGGTTTAATTAAAAAAATGCTAAATAAGTTATTTGTGATTGTAAGATACTTAATAAATTTAAAGAAAAATTTTATTGAACTGCTATAAGACTAGTTATGTTGTATGGTAGTAAATGTTAGGTTTTAATGAGACAAGAAGAGCATCAAATTTGAGCAATAGAAATGAGAGTGTTGAGATGGATGTGCAGGTATACATGTAAAAATAAAATCTAAAATGAGCACATATAATAAAAAGTAAGGCATAACATCTATTGAAGAAAAAATAGTAAAAAATCATTTGAGATATTTTGGACATGTACAAAGAAAACCATGAGAGGCACCAATAGGGAGAGTATAATGGATAATTTTGAGCCATATTAAGAGGGACGGAGGAAGGCTAAAGAAAACATATATGAAAGTTATTAACTAAGACATCTTAATTAACATTTCTAAAAGATTGATAAATGACAGTATACAATGATATTATACAATCCATGTAACCAACCATACTTAATGAGAAATGACTTCTTATTGTTGTTGAATTATAACCTAACAACATATGAATAGGGTTAAAATTTACCTTTTTTATCAAATTTGGTTTAGTTAGTAAAAATTTGATATATTATTTATAAGGTCATGGGTTCAAATTTCATTACTGTTATGAGGACGGTAATAACCAAAAAATTTTAAATAAAATTAAATTATGAATTAAAATATTTTAAGAGTATTTTTATTATTTTGAGAACACCTTTAACGACAAAAAAAAGTTGGTTTAGTGGAGGCAATACAAGCACACACGTAATAGGTCTCGGGTTCGTGGTTTCTAGAGGCCCAGAGTGGATTTTTTTTTTTCCCGGTTTTTGCTTCAACCTTTATTTAATTACCAAATTTTCCATTATTTAAAAAAAAAGAAAGAAAAAAAAGAGAGAGAGAGAAGAAATCAAAAACCCAATATCCTAAAATGCAGGCATTGTTATTCATTTTATGCTCTGCCTCCATTTTTTGATTGTTCTAGAGCTATGAGAGAGGAAGAGTGCTTTAAACCATAACCCATCTTCATCTCCTCAAATCTCTAGTCTTCCCCTCGTCTTCTGTCCATTGTCGGTGAAAATGAGCGCGCCGTCCGCCGCTGCTATGGATTCCAAGATGCTCGTGGATTCTCTGTTCTTCCTCCCCTATTTGCGTCGCCGGCTGTTCTTTCTTCTCCTCTGATAGAGTTGCGTGTAGTATGTCCTTTTTATTTTGCGTTATGGGAGTTGGTTCATGGGTGCAAAACGTTCAATCTGTTGGTCCTTTTATTTTGCCCTGTAACGTCGCTCTTCTTCTTGGTTCAAGCGCCGTCGTCGAGTTGTGTGTAGCTGGGAAGCGTTAAATTTTCTCTCTTCGTTGCTCTGCTGGGAACTTTAAGAGTGAAAGTTTTACGAAAGCAGCTATTTTGAAAAAGTTGTAATACGTGGATTTAGTTTTTTGAAAATATTGTTTCAGTGTGTTTATATGCCACCTCCTTTATTTATTTAATTTTTTTATTTCTCAAAAGATAAATGTAACATGTTTTTAAATTAGTCTTAATGATTTTGAGTTTAATTTTATTGTCGAATTTTGCATTTGGAAAATGTTTTCTTTATAAATGAATTTTCTAGAAAGAGTTGGAATTATTTCTTCAAATGAATATGTGAAAGTAATTTTTATATTTAATTTATATGTAAGAGATGATATATTAATTTTAAACCCATGTATATTTGTTTTAAAATGTGGGGTTAAATTAAAACATTGATTGTTAATAGCAGATTTATTAATCCTTACATGCTACTTAGAAGGTATTAGTCTTGTGCAATAACCAACACATATGGAATTGAGGGATGACTATTCGTGAGCATGGTACTCATACTTGTTTTCGTGGGCCTTATACGTGTGCTTGATTTTGTAGGATTTATGCTCATGCTTGTTGGTTAATTGTTTTGATAAAATCTTACTAAAGAGTGAATTTTAAAAATTAATTTTTCTTAAAAATTTGATCTTTTAAAACAAATTGTGATTTTTACCATATTTGAATTTTATATTGAGCCATATAATACTCAAAGTGTTTAAACATGTTAATATTTAAAGTGAAACTAATAAAATTGTAATTGAATATATACATTCATAGTATTTTGTTTATTTACATAACTGTTGATATATATATATATATATATATATGAGGCATATGCTATATTATTTGCAATTGATTATTTCATTAGGTTATAAGAAATTCATTGATATACCTATTATTTCCATCAAACGTAACTGGGATGTTATTCATTGAAAAAAATATTATTTTTAATCTCAGATAGTGTAGTTGACATTGTACGTCTTGTTGACCACTGAGAGACTTTTTGCTGAGCAAAGTAGAGATTTATTTTGTAAATATTTTTTTTTGATGTAATTATGAAATTTATCTATTATGTTTTGATGATATAATTAAGTGCTTCACATAGATTATAGTTAGGTTTCTTATTTAATTAAATACTTTGTCTGCTAACTAGATGAAGCTGTACTCTTAATTTTAGTGATACTCTGCTGAAATTTTATTGTAAGATTTTTAGGAAGTCATAGTCAGAAGGAAGGTGTTGCCAAAATTCTTACAAATAAGAAAAAAAAAACAGGAAGGTTCTTGTGAAAAAAAAAAAATTATCTAAGATTTCCCAACTTCAATATAAATATAATTGAGTATTAGAAAATTTTCTTAAAATAAGGCTCAAGGGATATGCATACCGGTCACTCTTGTTTTGAGACATGACAATAACCTTATTGTTAAGCAATCGATAAACATTTGTTGAGTTTAAAGACATACCTTAATTTTAATAAATCTTAGAGGCTATACTCACATAAACTTTTACTTTATCCACAAAAAAAAAAAAAAAATCCCCCTCTTGGTAGGAAATTAGAAAGACAATCAACGGTGATTATATTTGCCATCAAAAGCCTCATATCACGTGGCGACTAGAATTTGTAAAATATAATGTAACTGAAGACAGGTTCAACTTAACCGTAAAACTTATAAACTTCATATATTAGTGGTCACTTAGGACCTCAACCGCTAATTAGATGATCAAGATCTTATGGAATTCTCAAGCGGATTTAGTAACATAATCTCTCTTAAAATAACCATCTAATTTCAGTTTTCAGACATAAAGGATATTTTTATTTTCAATAGTTTACTAAATTCTGAAACATTTCTGAAAATTATAAAGCAATTGCTACCAAAATTCTTAACTCATGATTGCCTCTGTTTTTTCAGTCCCAAAGCCAACTATATGTGTTCTAACGTTTTAGTAGCAAGTTTTGGTTGCATGAAGGATATCACTCATTTAAATTAAAAAAATTATATCGGCACAATCGGTTTCTACTGATTAACAAATGCAAACAGATAAACCCTAAAACTAAAAGATGGCATTAATCTTAAATGCCATCTTTTAGTAGTTAATCAGTAGTTAACAAATACAATAGTTTTAATAGATGTCTTGTATATCTACATAGACCATCATTATTGATTTCAATGAAACAGCAAGGCATCTTAAATAATACATATACACATTATTACTGAAACAGTTGGGGTCTCCCTTATTTCATATTTGCAGATTAGGGCATAAACCTTGATTTTGTTATAATCTTCAATCAGACCACATATTGAGGAAGAGCAATGCCTCTCGTTTCTGGTAATCCAATGAACAAGGCAGTTTCTACTTCTGAAGTTGGACTATTTTCTAAGGAAGCTGGCTTCTCACCATGATTCTTATTCCTGGCTTGCTTTTCCAGGGTATCATGCTGCATGCAGAGTAATCAATCTGTCTTTCATTCATAACTCATAAAATGTGAAATATTACTAGAATTTTATAGGTTTTCCATGATCAAGACCAATGAAACATCCAAGTCAAAGAATGATTTATAGATAAAATGAACTACAGTATCACCTTTTCAGCGAGCCTTGCATTTTCTGCTGCTAGGGCTTTTCCCTGGTTTGTATAAAAACAAAGTCAGCATGCTTCTCTTGCTGGAAAATCTTTCAGTGTTCAAATTCTAGGTACCACATTTAGCATAAAATAATAGTTATGAACTGTCGTCACTTAAAATCCTACTCTTTATATAATGATTTTAAAAGCATCAAATATACTAAAAAAGATAGGGAGAATGATAGAGAGGTCCTAAAAAACTAATTAATTTAACTTAGGTCTCAAGTATCAAACTTCAAGAATTTGCAAGTTCAATTTTCAATTTTGCAACTTCATTGTAATAAATTTGCAATTTGTGTTTCAAATTTTAACAGAGAAAACAAATTTATTTATTTTTCAATCATGTTAAAATTTAAAAAGTGAATAACAAATTCATTATAATGAAGTTGCAAAATTGAAAGTCGAACTTGTTAACACCTATAGTTTGACACTTGAAACTTAGGTTGAATTAATGAGTCCTTTTGAGATCTTTCTGGATATGACAATTAAATAGAAACTGTCAAATAAAAGAGCCCTCAATTCGGTCATCTGGTTCTGGTACCATCAAATATGATGACTATATGCAAAAAAACCCATGATATTTGTTGCCTTAAATATGACAGTTGATCGCATTAACTAACTGTTAATGTGTTCAATCGTCATATTTTTTTTCGTGTTTTTATACATAAAAGCCCAAAACCAGTTTGTCAAGCATCCAAAACAACAAACCCAAATATACAAGCATACAAAGCAATAACACAAATCAACAAATATGATTCATTTCCAGCATCCAAAAACAGCAAACCCAAATGTAGAAGAAGAAAATCTTAATGTGCCTTGGAGAGAGATTGATGAACAAGAGAAAGGTAGACTAAATTGGAGATGTGAGTGTTGCTGAAAAATATGCCTAACATGTTTAATAAACTTCTATCTATTCATTGATTAAATGTGCTAATGAATCTGAATCAACTTGGTGTGGATGGGTCAAAGAACAAATTGGTCGATAGGAGCACAAATGAGGATCGTGAATGTCACAAATGAGGATCGTGAATGTCTACAAAGACTACCAGTTTGGAATGAACACTGAATCTTAATCAACAATCAAATGCAGACTTCAAGAGTATTGTAGGATTTTTCATCATGTGCCCTCTGAGGTCCCTTGGTCCTCTCTTTATAATGGGTATGCAATACTGAAACATTTTGTCATGAGTTCTACATCAAGGAGCTTCATGAATGGAGTGGATTTAACTAGTGTAAGGGGACACATTCAGTCATTGCTTGGCTAGTTTTCCATCATTTATTAGCTACAAAGGATCGTTCCAAATAGTTCAAGCATACGCAAAATGATCTTTGCTGCTTTTGTCAAGCTCACTTAGTTGATCATTTGTTCTTTGAGTGACCTGTTTTTGCTGCTACACTAAAACTGTTGATGACTTATGTTGATTTTGATATTCGCTGCTCTAAATTATATGTTCGGCAGCATGTTTTTGTGCAAACTAGAAGGAAGAGTAGATTGGTTTACAAGTTGAAGGCATCTGTGTTTTGTGCTACTATCCACTCTATATGGCAAGCTAGGAATGCCTTGGTTTTTTAGCAAAAGATCCCAATTAGTACCCAGATTTGTCTTAGGATTGTAGATTAAGTTAAATGGAAACATCTCTTCATATATAGGAAGAAACAGGTATACTAGAGTGTTAGGTATAAGATTCAACAACATCTTTTATTTGTGGCCTGTTTCATTCTTTAGACTTTGACATTTAGAGCTATACTTTTTGTATCTTTTTGTATAAGGGGGTAGTACCCCTTTTAATTCGATGCATATGGTTATTTTAGGCTAATATAATATTTCACCTTTCTTCAAAAAAAAAAAAAAAATCCTTCTATCTATTGTGTTTCTACACCCCTTGGAGTTTGCCAGGCATGCCAGAGGAACTATGTCCTATAATGAGTTAGTAATCAGTGATTGTGAGCTACCAAGATTCTTTACCACAATTTCTTTGGAGTGCTTTAGAAAATTAGAGTTTAGAGAACACAAGTGTATGCAAAGAAATGATAATGCATTTCTTGGAAGTTAGTACTAAGAGAACGCTCCAATGATCAGAAGGAAAAACAAAGTGATGAGTCTAGACTGAAAGTAATGAGTTGCACTTGGCGAAAGTAAGGAGTCACATTGGGAAAAATTTAAGCTTGATGCAAGGTCAGTTGACTGGGTTGCTTGGTGCGGTTTGGTTTGTTGAGTGTTGAAGATAGTTAAGCGCTCGTTGCCTTTTATACGAATGGGTAACAATGCTCTAAGTCGAATTCAAATTTCGCCCGCCAACCTAAGTAGTAACCTTCTGGGCTTGATTGTGGAGGGCGATGCTCCTGTACCTCGTCACTGCTAGTGGGCAGTGGCCTCCTATACCTGTTCACTGCTCCTCTTCAACGCATTGTTCCATTGCTTCATGGGAGATTCAACCTCTTAGATCACTCAAGTTGGGCTGCTATTGTGTGAATTCCGTGATTGGGCTTGGCATGTCCTACTTTAGGCCCATAACGATTTTAGTCCAAACACTATCTATTCATTAGTAGCTTGATTTACTCATCACTTATAGACAAAATTTATCAAAACTTGTTTTCATTGGCTGCATGAGTTGGAAAGTTTGTAGTTATGTTATAGGTTGTAGTAGTGGTTTATTATTTGACACAGCTAATGAAAAGTTTGTTATGAGTTCATATTGGGGAACCTCACAACATTAGTGAGATTTGTAAGTTTTAGAAGCTTTCCCACCTAATAGGCTAGTATTTTGGAATGTGATCTTTTAAATTTGTGCTTCTAATATTGATGCTTTCATTGAGAGGTTGATCTCATGGAAAGCATTATCCACAGAGGATATTGACCCTTAGGAGGCCAATTAATGTGCCATAGAGTAGAGCTGTTGGGGATATTCGCTCTTGAATAGGGTACATTGTTATGAGTTTCACATTGGGGAGTCATACAAGAGAAGAAAGGCTTACAAGTTCAAGAAGCTTTCTCACCTAACAAGCTAGTATTTGGGATGGTTGTCTCTTTAAAATTGTGCTTGTAATATTGATGCCTTTATTGAGAGGCTGATGTCATAGAGAGGACTATGCACGAAGGATTCTAACCCTAAGAAGGCTAAGTAAAGTGCCGTGGATTAGAGTTCTCAGGGATGTTAGCTCTTAAACTAGGTACATTATTACGAGTTTTACATTAGGGAGCCTCACAAGAAACGTAAGTTCATAAATGGAAGAGGCTTTCTCACTCAATATGCTAGTCTTTTAAAATGAGCTCTCCCTTTAAATTTGTACCTATAACTTAGTTGTAACCCCAATTAATGTGAAAGTGCACCAAATCTCTCACTTATTTTCTCACAATTAATTATCAGATTTCTATTATACAGAATCACATTTACGCATAAACTACCATCTCACTTGATGCAGACATCTTACCTTTTCTTTTAGTTGCTCCACTTGTTCTTTGAAAACTTGAATCTGAAAAGCAGTAAGATTGAGGTTGAGGCAAAATTAAGTTCCGACATTTTTGGAGTAAAATTATACAGACATATTAAAAGCTAACCTTCCTCTCACGAATGTTTTTGACACTTCTTTCCAACTGCTGCTCTATATCTTCTAGTTCTTTTATTGAGCATGAGCCGAAATCTTCTCCCAAGAGTTTCCTAAGAGATTGAAACCACAAGTTTAAAAAATTCAAATTTTCTTTTACCATGAACGCAAGTAATTTTACATGGGAATATATATATATATATATATACACACATATGTATAGAAGTTCATGAGTAGGAATTGAACCGTTTTGAAATTTCAAGCTGCTCAATCTTCTTCATCATAGTCTCTGTTTCTTGCTTTAGATGCTGCAATTGCAATTTCTTTCAAACATGAGGATCGCAAGTCACTAGATAACATTTTCACTTTTGGCAACAGTTAATTTTGTAATTAAAAGTTCTAAAAGTAATGCCTCACTTATGAATAAACAACAATATTTCAAATGTAAATTTATATCCATTACAGGCAACAAATATTTGACAACACTTGAAAACTGTTACATGTATGAAACAGTTACAATACAATTAGAAAAAAACTAAAAAGAACATGGAATCATCTACCTGTATTTTCACATAAATAATGATAACTGGAAAAGTAGATATTTCAGGTATAACTTTTATAGTAATCTCAATGTGCCTACATGCAAATTTATGATTCGTCTGAGCTAATTTTCAGTAGACTAGCCTTTTAGAGTTTCGATTTCCCAAAGATGTTAAATGAATATTCTCCATCTCCTGTTTAATGCAAATTGAATGCCGGTTTGTTTAGTACAAGTTATTTGGAAGAACAGGTTTTTAAGTCCTAAGGTGACCAATCTTTAGCATTCTGATGGTTCAAATTTTAATTTTTTGCCTGACAATCAAAAACTATGTTTAAGGTTGATTATATTCCTTCTATGGTCTCGTCTTTGTCTATACTTGGAGCTCCAAGGTAAGGTGAAAACCATTATTTGAGACTCTCTCTCTCTCTCTCTCTCTCTCTCTCTCTCAATGGTTATGGCTAATGAGGTTGTAGAAAGTGAATATGAAGCTCTAGCACTAGGAGTGAAAATTTCTGCTGTGTAGAAAGGAAAGTTACCAAAAGAATACTTTTAAAGGCCTTTTTTTAATGCAACACGCTATGTCCAGCACTATGTATATTCTAATCAAACTAAAAAAAGTAGTGAATTGGCCATACATTGAACAAATTCATTAGAAGAATAAAAAAAGAAGAGAATATAGTAGAGGGAATATTAGAGAAAGAAGTTCCACATCTAATAATTAGAAAGTAGATTAGGAATATATAACATTTAGGATATGTCTAACTAAGCGGCTTAAGCTGTTTCAGTGAAATAGGCAATCCTTAAGCATGCTTGTGTGTGTGTGTGTGTGAGAGAGAGAGAGAGAGAGAGAGACTGTTAGATTTGAGGCCTTTGAAACTAAAAAATTGTGAGACAGAGAGAGGGAGATAAAGACTATTATATTTGAGGCCTCTAAAACTTTTTGAAAAAAAAAAGTACACAAGCCCAAGCTCAGAGAAGAAAAACATGAAGACAAGATTGCAAAGGGAATATTAGAAAAAGAAATCCCACATCCAATAATTAGAAAGTAGATTAAGAATATATAAAACTTAGGATATGTCTAATCAAATTGCTTAAGTTATTTTGGTAAGATAGACAATCCTTAAGCATACTTAATGTAAAAATTTGACAGATATAAAGATCAAACAAGTTTTTTCTACATGTTAGAAAATAATTTGGAGCCCTCCATTAGACGACTGTAGAGCTTTGAATTTAGAAAGGACGAATTTCATCTCCGCTGCTAGTTTTTTCCCTTTTCTCTTATCTCCTTGTTCATTTTCTGACATCTCTTTGTACTCACTTGTGTATGCGCTGGAATATATTTACTTGTGTATGCGCTGGAATATATTTACTTATTATGGTTGGCTATAGTTTTCTTGTTCTATGATGATTATGGCTATATAGTTGTGGATTAGTGTATGAAGACTTTGTATTGTACTTTAATGATGTATCTGTGTTGGAAGTCAAATGTAAGTTCATGTGGGAAGGAGTAGCTAGATTTGGTTTGAAGATATCTATATGTTATAAGTTCTTGTAGACGTAATATCTTAAGGTTTTGGGTCAAAAAGTAGTGTTAACTTCCATGATTCCTTCCAAAGTTTAATACCTCATTGTTTGATGCTTTCCAAGGCCCTAAAGAGTTGGACTCTTGTGTGGGATATAGCTTTTTTTACCAGAAGAATATTGTTAGGATTCAAGCGAGAGATAATGTGAGAAGTTTCATTTTAGACAGAGAGTTGGCCTAAACAACAGCCATAAGTTCAATATCTTAAGGGTTTAGATTAAGATGTGGTGTCAATCCATAAACTTAATATGCTCCCTCCAGTCCAAAATATCAGTATTTTTTAATAAGAATTCACATCAGTAAAGTTCTTATTCTAATAAAAATATATAATATTTTTTCTTTTTCCCTTTAGTGCCAATTACCATTACACTTCATAAAGTGTGGAGAGATGAATTTATACAAAGATCTAGGTTAACATATACAAGGGATAAAATGAAAAATTATTTTTATATGCATTAGGTTATTTATATTTTGAACCAAAATTAATTGGGAAAAAATAGTTATATTTTGGACCGGAGGAAGTGTACCTTAAGGGTTTAGGTCAAAGACGCAGTATTAATCTCATCATTAACATACTTCTTTCCAAATTCCATTTAATTAAAAGGCCTCGGATGATCTCTATGGTATACTATGTTCTCTTGGTCCCCTAAAAGTGTGCTTAATACTCTCTAATTAAGTGGCCACTAATTAGGGATTAATTAGGGTTTCTTAATAGGACAAAACATAAAGAAATTAATTAATAGACTAACAACTAGTTAGTGTGAGTTAACAATTCACTAGAAGGATAGAGTTATATCTATTAGTCTCACATGATCAAATTAAGTTTGCATTTAATTAATATCATTATTTAATTGCATAATACATTATGGGTTGTTTCAATTAATTAGTACATATACCTAGTAGCTTAAAAGATGCTTTTGTGCATGCATCTATCATTTATCTCAGGATCTTTGAATTCCTCCTCACTTATTCTTAGTTAGCCATTTGCTTGGCCATGTTACAGGTTGAAAAACCCAACAATATTTGAGGCGTGTGAGGTCTAATCTGGTGGAAAGAGAGGAAAAGATTAGGCATATGAGCTACAAACATTTGAGTAATTTATTCCACTTCATAATATATATATACACATATATATTGCAACCAGTCTCTTGAAAATAAATTGATCTATGAAACTAACTTGCAAAAAGATCATTCATTGAACCAGAAAAAATCGGATTTTTTCAGCAGTTAATAAATTTTGTAACAATTTTAGTATTCTATATCATTAACTTGATAAGATTAATTAGTTTTGGGAACTCCTCACCTATATATGAGCTGCGAACATTTGAGGCTTCTATTTTGAAGTGCCTATGGTTAATTTTGAAACTTCGAAGGGTTTGAAAGCTTAATGTATGTTGTCATGTGAGAGCTACCTTTTTTTTATGTTTGCTTAATGGTAAACTAAAGTATATTTGCAACTAAAGTATTTAATATATTAGCGTAAGAGCTTTGTCTCAGATAACATGTCCCTTGAGATATTGGCATAAAATTCTAGATCAACTTTTGACGAAGTCAAATAATATGGAAATGGGAGAATTTCATCATAGGATCATGATGTAACATATTTTCAAATTAGTCCCAAAACATTTTAAAATTTCATTGTAGGATATTGAGCTTGAATTGAAATAAAATAATCAAAATATCCTTTTTCAGTATTTTGTAGCGTTACAAGTAACAAATAAAGCAAAGCATTTAACAAGCATTGTTGTTGATTAACAATAAAAAATATTTGACTTAGGATGCATAATGAACATAGAAAACACAAAATAAACAAAAGGATAAGAATAAAGCAAAAACGAATGAGAATGAAAAAAATAATAACCTGCATATTTTGTTCACAGAATCTGGTGCATGTTTGAGCATCTCGGTTATGATTGCGGTACCGTTCAATTGTTGCCTGCATACTGTGAAATTGATGCAATAATAATCAATATATCAACATATATTGTAAAATTTATAGTAAGATGCAATAATGTGCTTCATTCTTCATATTTCATGCAATACGTTGAGACGTGTTTTGTTTGTTGCAATAAGATTATATTTGGCCAAAAAATTTTAAAAAAATTGTTTCTTACTCTTTTTTGCTCCTGCTTTTCTTCATAAACTTATCAACTACGATCACACTAAAAGAAGTGATAACAAAGTACTACAACGGAAAAATAGAAGTGCATGAAGTTAATTCTATCAACTATAGTTGTCTAAACAAAGGACTACATTATGAAGACGACCTTTTACAAGAGGGTAAAGGAGTAATAGATTGAAGAAATGATTTACAATAATGAATATATATATACATATATATACGCCAGATTAATCAAAAGCCCAAGCTCCCAAATCTAGACCAAGAAAATAAAAAACAAGAACTTGGGACAAAAAGTATTGAAATTCATGTTACCCAACAACAACAACAAGAACAAGCCTTGTTTTATTATGTGGAACCAGTTGCATGGATTACAAAATGTTATTGTGTCCTATCAATAACCAACCTTCAGGTATATTGTTAACCAAAAGGTCTCATTCCATACTTTTTTTCGATGTTTTCTTAAGCCTTCCTTTGTCCCTTTTTACAAGGCACAAGACTACATATATCATGTTACCCGAAGCTAAAAAAATATTTTCAAGCAAAAGACTATCTCTATCATTAAGTTTCCCAAGACTGAAATTCGTCTTGAGCCAATAGTTAAGTTATACCACTTTATCATGTCAATCCTTACAATGTGTGTTCGCCAATAACCTATAATTACTCAATGATATGATGCCTTGAGTTATATTGCAATCAGTCTCTTGAAAATAACTTGATCAATAAAACTAACCTGAAAAACAAAATTGATTGAAATCCATTGAACCCGCTAAAATCGGATTGTTCATTAGTCAATAAATTTTTTTAATAATTTTAGTATTCTAGTCCCTGGAATGATCGAGTCTTTGAAGTGCCCTAATATAATGTGATTACCTTTATAATTAACTTGATGAGATTAGTTGTGAGAACTTCACTTATATAATCATGATGGTGTAATTGTCACTTTACAAACATACATTTCTACTATTCATATGTTTAAATTGTTTAATATTATAGTATAGCTAGCTAGTTAATATTTACTTGGACTTTGTTATGTACATTAAATTGAGTGTTCGCGTGTCCATACACATACCTAGTATGATTACGTTAGAGCTACTGAAATTTGATGTTTTATTTATGGCAACTTTTATTTGTATTTCTCATACCAATTGCTTAAATCAAATCAAAAGAAATTTTTAATCAGAAGCCTGAGTATAAAGTCTTATTTCAAACAAATTAGAGATGTTTGGAATTTTGGATAAAATTTATTTCAATAATGCTTATCCTAACCCTGAAGCAGTTTGCTGACATATGCTTTTTCATAGATTTTATGGTTGGTGGGCTATGGAGTAAGGGTTAGGAGCTTTGAAAGGCTTTTGTTGCAAATTAATGATTTATTACTATAAGAAACAACAAATGTGTGATGGATTATTTGCTAGTGAGCATGGTTCTTTGAAGAAAATAAGAATTAGGGATGAAGAAGGTTGCGCATAATATCTTCAAGATGTAAGCAATACTTTCTTTTATGCTTAATTATCCCCACCTATTCCAATCTTAAGGTGTAAATTGGGTTGATGGTGAATTTCTTTCAAGATACAATGAAAGTCCTTGAGTATGGTTTGCATTCTCAAGACTCAAGCCATTAGAACAATGATGTTTACAAAGTAATTGATAATTTAACTTTATCCTTGGTGCACTTAGAGACAAAGGCAATGAGTTTGAATGGATGTTAGAAATGAGTGATGGTTAGGGGTATTTATGGAGAAGTGATGCCTTGAAGTAGTACTTCTTAAACAATATAACTCTTTAATTAAAAAGCCATAACCCTATATTTATTCATGAACCAAAATAGTTTAATAATTAATAACCAATAGTTATGTAAAATAACTTTTCATAAAGAGTAACATATCCTTTTAATATAGAGCTTTCTAATTAGGGACTACCAATCTTCACCAAGTGGTTACCACACCTTTTTGTTTCATAACCTTCTAAAGATGCCTTTAAAAATGGGAGAATGACAAGGAGGTTTCTTAATTCAAATTAGGTCTCAAGTGTCAAACTCTATGAATTTGCATCGGCTTTCAACTTTGCAACTTCATTGTGACGAATTTGCAACTTGTGCTCCAAATTTTAACAAGAAAAATAAATTTGTTTACTCTTCAACTATGTTAAAATTTAAAAAAAAAAGTTGCAAATTCATCACAACAAAATTACAAAATTGAAAAACAAACTTGCAAATTTATGAAGTTTAGCACTTGAGATCTAATGTGAATTAATTGGTTTTCTTGAAACCTATCTATCATTCTCCCTTTAAAAATTAGAGAGGCATGACCTTCATGACTTTTAGTATTATAACTCCCTACATAACCCTTACCTTAAATTATAAGGACGTGATGACTTTTGAGAAAGAAATCTCTTCATTTTGAAAATATTCTACAATTATTTGCAAAGGACAATTTATGTGTTTTTATAGGATAGTTATAGCCTTATTTTTTTGGATTAGTGAATGTTTACTACTCTCTAATGTTAATTGCATACGCGTTAGCTTCATTTTGTGTGCTTGATATAAGTTTTGGTTAAAGGCTAGTAACTAATCGGTGCGTATCCTAGTTGAACTAGGGACAGGGAAGTTGTGGAGTTAAATGGATTATGGTTTCGCTTGTAGAATGGAAATATATCTACCGATGATCTCATACAGTCAAATGAGTTTGCACTTAATGATGCTAATTTTTGTCACACTAGAGATTGTAGGCAAACTTGTGTACTGGTTTGGACATCAAACTAACACAATCATTATATTATGAAGAGAGTATAATAAACTCATGACATGCGTAGTGTTGGGAATGTAGGACAGCCTAATTAACCTGTATGGGTTGGCCAATCATAAACTAGAAAATAAGAGGAATAAATTGCATTTAACCATTTTTTGATAGGCTAAGATTTTCTCAACAGCCCAAGTGCAGGGTTATACGAACCAACCACATAACCCATCATTATTTTGAAAAAAAAATAAAAATCAACACAAATTCTAATGCACGAACTTAAAAAATTAAATATTTCATTCATCTTCTTCACCAAGCATGATTGAATTTGAAAAGACATGTTCAATTCCACAAACAAATCTGCAACCACAAATTTGAATGACTTGTCAAATTGGAAATGGTTGTTAGGTTATAAGTTAAGTGAGATCTCAGTAATTAATCTATAACTTAATTGCTAGTCCAATCCTTGAATATAATAGTAATTTTAGTGGGGAAGTTTGTGATAAAGCCAGAAAAATAAAGCTGAATTGCATTATTCTTGCTAAGTGAATTCCTTAGATTTAAAGTTTTCCTTTTGCTAAACTTGTTTTAATTCATGTTGTTTCATAACCCCCCCAAAAAAAAATTAAACCACTAGTTCTTTTCGCTAGCCCATTTTTAGCATTAATTTCCTGATTGAATTGCTAACAGTTTAATTAGTTCTTTGGGATAAAACTTTGATTACACATTATCCTGCAAAAATCAATTTTTAACTCTAATTCTGGACAGCTCAACAGTCATGGTCAAGAATTACATGTTGAAATTATAATCTAAAGCTAAAAGAGGAGCATGGTCAACTTAGACTCGAGATATATCATGTTAATGGTGACGGTGATAAGTTTATAGTATATATAGTGACGTAAAATTAACTAACACGTCAGGTGAAAATGTGTTAAGTCAAACCGTGGATATGTACGTGTAGTTTGTCACCCCCTCCCTTAAAGGTATTGAGTAGTGTTAGGATATATATCGAATTTTGCATATACTTGAACTGATATGGAAAGTCCAGCATCGAATAATTTAAGGCTTAATCTCAACAAGTAGTTAACACAATCATGTGTTTTGGTTATCATCACAACCAAGTGAAGGATCATATGCATGGGTATTATCAAGGTCTTGGATAGTTGTCATTTGTAAGAAGAGGGTTTACAAACTTTTCATTCAGAACTTCTTGCGTGAAAGGTAATTAATTTTGCACGGTCAACTTAATTAGATTCAACATATATCATGTTAGTGGTGATGGTGATAAGTTTATATATAGTATAACGATGTAATTAAAACGAACAAAATCTTACTGTGATAAGGTGTTAAGTCAGACAAGAAAAGGAACTAAACATTAGATAACAAGTAAGGTGACACTACAACAAAACAGTGATTTTCTATCGGCAATTAATTCATGAACCCTGATCGCAAGGTTTGATTTTCTAATTTGCAGTTGACTGAAATTAAGTTTATAGTTATTTTTTATTTCAACTTGCTTGTTATTTGACAATCATAATGATGGCATGATCTGGTGAGAGTACATCCAGGTTTTACTAGTATCATTTACCCTACGCATTTGTTGAAGATAAACGAGTTTGAACATGTAGCTCTTCACTGTCACTTTAAGGTATGACTAGTGTTAGGATATCTAAGTACGAGTTTACTTGAGTTGATATGGGAAGTTCAACATCAAATAATTTTGAACTTAATCTCAAGTAGTTAATACCATCAAGTGTTTTGGGTTATATCATCACAATTCCAAGTCAAGGATCATACATGGGTATTATCAAGGTCTCGGATTGAAATGATTTGTGAGAAGAATGTTTTACAACTTTTCATTCAGAAATATTGCAAGTGTGAAAAGTTCATTAATTTTGCAACTTTCAATTCCAAATACGTACATGAGCGCTTGTATTAATTGTTTTGTACTATTTGTACTACTTGGGACGACCTTGGGAAAAGGGAAGATTATTAATTGGCTCGGAATATTTTGTTTAAGTTAAATATAAAAAGGAGATGAATTTAGAAGCTTGATGACAAAGTTAATGCATGTTCAGAATAATTTCAGCTGACAATTATATATGTAGAATTAACACAACTGCAATATTAAAGTACATATAGCCAGCATTGGAATAGAAAAGCATGTGTACTCTAGTTGAATTAAAAACAGTAGTGATCTAATAGAGCATCACTGCCAACTTACTCATTGTGTTATACACACACACACACTCCTCTTATACTATTTATAAATAACTTCTAATATATTTCATGAAATTAAAAAAAAATCTTAAAATTCATTAACTTCATCTAGAAATTTAATAATTTATTAACTTTGCCCTTATTAAATATATATACTTTAACAACATATTTTTCTCTCTAACATTCAATGGAGGACAAATGAAAAAATATATAATAAAAATTTAATGAGGTGATTTATAAACAAGAAAAAAAATATATATTCTCTCCATGCCTTAGAAGGAGTTACATACATACATATACATATATATATATATATATATATGATACAGTTCTTGAACAGTACAAAATTTATTGTAGGGTGATAATATCGTAGATGCTCACTCTTGTCAACAAAAATCAAGGTTCGAACACCTAAAGAGAGAGTCAATTTTCATTTCATAAATTAACGAGGAGATTTTAATTAGTGAAAGGCATTTATGAAATAATTGTGCATAACGAGAATACATGATAAATTAAAACTAAATATTTCACTGATCCCTTTCTCTTCCCTTGCATATAGTTCAATCCGTAATATTTGTCTTAAATGTTTGTCCTTCTTTTCATCCGTAACTGTGTGTAATGATGAACTGACCTGTATAATCACTTCATATCTCCCATCCTACTTAAATGTGTGGTATTTTAAGTAATTAACTCTAATAATTCCAAACAAACAAGGGATTGGAAAAGAAAAGAAAAGTAATTAATTAATTAAGATGGAAGAACACGAATATATTACCTGGAGCTTGCAAATTCATAGAGTTTGCCTCTTGGGGAGAAGATGATGAGAGCAATCTCAGCATCACAAAGAACTGAGAGCTCAAAAGCTTTCTTTAAGAGTCCATTTCGTCTCTTTGAGAATGTTACTTGTCTGCTTGTCGCGTTCTCTATACGATTCATCTGTGTCTTCCCTCTCACCATTTTTTCAATTCTCCCTCTCTATAAGCTGATTTCTGCAAATCCCAAGCTAGACCTTCAACACCCAGAAAAAACTTACCCCAGAGAGTAAAGATATAAGTTCAAATTAATGCCAATAGATCCGATTCTCGGAGTACCAGCAAATCCAAAGTCCCTAATTAGTTAGTTAACCAGGTGAAAAAGTAAATTTCAAATTTGGGTATTATATTTATTCTCAGAAGAAGGCTAGAAAGCCAGAAGGGCTGGTTAAAGGAAGAAAGATTCCATACAAGATAAGGAAAAAAAATCCCAGAAATCCGAAGATTGAAAACCTAAGTATAAATGCGAAAGGAAAGGAAAGGAAAGAGAGGAAAGATTGAAAACGAAGAAAGAATCTGAAGGGAAACAAAAGAAAAAACCCAAAAGAGACGAAGCATTGTAAAAGAGGGAAACGAACCTTTCCTTATTAATCTGTCACTTCGTCTCTGATGATGCTCAGCCATATTAAGAAAGAAAAGGGGTTTTATGGTAAGAGTGAAATGAAACCTCATGCTTTGCCTGATCTGGAAAAAATCCAGGCCACACAACATCCTCAAAAGAAAAAAAAATATCATGATTCACAAATGAGGAGGGGACATGAAAGTGACACCCATATGGTAAGTTTTTATTTTAGATGAACAGACTGGACCGCAAAAAAAAGCTGAGGAGTGGGGAGGAAACTTTAAAGTAGGAAGGCTTGTGGGTTCTGACCGTTTGGTCACAACGAAGCTAACAAATGGATGGGTTTTGACCGTTTGGCCACACAACGAAGTTAAGAAGTACAACGTTAGAAAAATGTCCATTTCTTCCGTACAATAACGTCATTTTCCAGCCAATCAGAGATCGAAAACGCATCACTTGTGTTAATGCTTTGCTGGGTCACCCAATTACTCTTTCTTCGTTTTACTTTTCTTATCATTTTTTGTTTTTATAATTTCTATTTACCTTCCTTGAGAATTTTTGTATTTTCATGAAATTTATAAAGCTTTGTGGGGTCAACCTATTACTCTTTCTTTTTTTGTTTTACTTTTCTTTACATTTTTGACTTTTTTGTATTTTCATGAAATTTATAAGATTAATATATAATTTAAATTTTGAATTATAGATTCAGAGATAATTTAAATTATAAATTTAAAAAGGTACATTTTAAATTTTAAATAATTAAAATTAGGATAATTTCATCCTTATCGTTAATTTTTAACAAACGTCCATTAAATTCATTTGAAAAAATTATATTTTAAGTCTCAATTTAATGGGCGTTCGTTGAAAGTTAATGTGGGAGCAAAATTATCTCAACTTTAATTATTTATAGTTTAGAATATACTTTTTAAAAGTTTAATGTTCAAGTCACCCTAAGATCTATAATTCAAAGTCCAAATTACATATTAACTCTTTTGTATTTTAAAAAATATGCTCTAATCAATAATAATTCAACAATAATGAAAGAAAGTGTATTTTGCATAGTATATTAATTTTTAAAAATATTTTGAAAGAGTGTGTAAGTTTCTTGATTTTAATTAATCAATAAAGATAAAAATTTATGAAAGAGAATGAAATACTTTTATGATAAATAAAGAGACAGATAAAAAATGTATAAAGAGAAATTTATTTTAGATTTTTTCCTAATAAAGAATGATAATTTTTTGCATTGATATTATTATGAGATTCCATTACTCTAAAGAACAAACAAGAAAAAAAATATAGAAGTGCAATTATAGCAAAAAATTATGTTATGCTCCTATTGCTGCCATTGATAGCCTATCAAAACCCCACCTAACAAGAACAAAAATAATCAACTAAATACCATCTCATTCATACCTATCATAATCTCCATCAAAAAATGTTTTACTCATTATTACATTTTACAACATTCTTTTATATAGTTTCATCATCATTATCATCATTATTATTTACTTTTTTTTATTCCTTCTTCTCATATCTTGGGAAATCTATAATATTACCACAGGTTAATATGTAATTTGAATCCTAAACTATAGATTCAAGGGTGATTTGAACTTTAAATTTTTAAAAATGTGCATTTTAAATCATAAACAATTAAAGTTATGACAATTTTTCCCCCATCATTAACTTTCAATAAATGTCCGTCAAATTGGGGCTTAAAAATGTAATTTTTCTAAAGTAAAGTTGACGAATATTTATTGAAAGTTAACGGTATAAGCGAAATTGCTCCAACTTTAATTGTTTAGGGTTTAAAATGTACTTTTTTAAAATTTAGGATTCAAATCACTCCTAAATTTATAATTCAAAATTTAAATTACATATTAACCCAAATTTATAAAACTTTGTGTGATCACCCATTTGCTCGCTCTTTCTTTGTTTTATTTTTGTTTTCATTATTTGTTTTTATAATTTCTTTTTACCTTCTTTGGGAAATTTTGTACTTTCATGAAATTTATAAAGCTTTGCGAGGTCACCCAATTACTCTTTCTTTCTTTCTTTGTTTTTTTTTTACTTTTCTTTTCATTTTTTTCTTTTTATAATTTCTTTTTACCTTTTTTAAGATTTGTTTGTATTTTCATGAAATTTATAAAGCTTTGTGTGGTCACCCAGTTACTCTTTCTTTCTTTGTTTTACTTTTCTTTTCATTATTTGTTTTTATAATTTCTTTTTACCTTCGTTGAGAATTTTTGTATTTTTCACGAAATTTATTAAACTTTGTGGGGTCACCTAATTAATCTTTCTTTCTTTGTTTTACTTTTCTTTTCATTTTTTCAGTTTATAATTTATTTTTACCTTTAAGATTTTGGTGTATTTTCATGAAATTTATAAGGCTTTGTGTGGTCATCCAGTAACTCTTCCTTTCTTTGTTTTACTTTTCTTTTCATTTTTGGTTTTTATAATTTCTTTTTACCTTCTTTAAGATTTTTTGTATGTTCATGAAATTTATAATTTCATCGTATTTTTTCAATACTTATAATAATATTTTAATTTTTTTTTCAGGTGCCACTGCTATTTATAATAATAATAATAATGAAATCAGCTCTGCTTTAGCACATATGCTTCTGTAAGTATGTGGGTTAAATATAAAATATCGCTTAAATAAGTTACAGGAACCGTAAGAAAATATTTGATTACCCAATTATTATAAATTATAACAAAGACATAATATGACTTAATGTTTTGACACCCATACCGACTCAAATAATTGGACCGGTAGAACTATCACTCAGTAAAGAAAGCGATTTAATTCAATCATTCAACTTATTTTAATAATTAGCTCAGGTTAGCTCGCTTTGATCAAAGCTAGTTTCTAAAACCACACAAGACTGGGATGGGCTACGCATGGTAATTGGTATTAAAAGGGTGAGGGAAGCGATTGGAAGTATACCCGCGGACGCACAGGCTTTGGCAGTTTGGCCGAGTTGTATTTACTATTTCATGAAAATTGCAACTCTTGACCCGTAATTATAAATATTTTGTTCGACACTATAATTTTTTTGTTTTGGTCTGGATTTTTGGATGGGAACTGATTTGCTTTTACTAGTTTAGTCAGTGTTTGACCAATCTGTTTATCAGCTGGTTTTAGGTTTAATTTGGAGAAGGCCAAAAACTAGTTTCTAATTCAATCAATTGAATTATGTGGTCTAATTTGATTTTAAAAACATTATTTTTTTTTATTTTGGTATAAATCGCCTGGTATCCTAAGATATGTTGGGTTCATTATTCGTCCCAAATTAATTTGAACTCTTATATTGAAAACCTTACAGTGGTGATGGATATCAATGAGACGATCTCTTTGAAACTGCATTAATTATCATATCTGTCACTCCTTAGAATTTGAACTCTCACTGTTAGAAATATTAACCATAGTCCTTTCTAATTCCATCGAATGTTCATTGGTTTTTAAATGGTCCTTTGTTTTTTCTTTGTTTTGTTTTTTGTTTTGTTTTCTTGCAGCCTCTATCTCATTCCCATTGTGCACTTCATGAAAGGGAAGGTTTTTAATATTATTTTATTCCTACTTTGACTTTGGTTTGTCTTCTGCACTAGCTTCAACAGCTAGGCAGCTAGCATCAATTTTAAAATACTTGCTCATTTTTTCTAGCAGTAAAAGTTTTCTCCCTTGTTTCATACTTCACGCATTCATGGTTATTGGTATTTTTTTTTATTATATTGTATTAGATTATATCAGATCAGAACTTCCTTCTTTTTGACCAAAGGTTTTAGGGAGTCTTGACCATTGTTTTTGGGTCATGGGGTTGCTCTCGCATTTACTTCTTTAGTGTGCCTTCCTGAAAATGTATTTGGAACGTGTTGATCGAGGAGATGAGGTTGGGAGCATGTTGAGAAGAGATCGAAGAATTAAATGCACCCTGCCTCTCACATAGACCCTCCCCTGCGATCACAACCCATGCGAGCGGAGGTGAGCATTCGTGAACTTAATTTTTTTTTTATCTAGTTGTCTCAATAAAAATCCATAATTACATTGTACATTTAAACTTGAGTACTCTGAAAATCCTTGAAGCAATGTAGATCGTGTACATGAACATGAACCCCAGTCTCACTAGAATTGTGAATAGATGGTATTCATGAATTATTTGGAGCTTTCCAGTGTAGATCATTGCCTTTTGTTTTGGTAACTCACCCAAAACGGTTCGTTGTGGATGCTAAGTGCTTGGTGTATCATCCATGAGCACCGAATGAGAACTCTTCTGCATTCCATTTTCTCCCAAAATATCTCAACAAGTTATCTTCATTTTCTCTTTTCTTTAGTCACATTGGAAGAAGACAAGGACAACGACCTGCTCGCAACCACCAATAATCAGAGATAGTGGAGAAATCGGCACCGTTGATCCAAGTCCAAACATGGCCTACAAGCCCAACAACCAATCAATTTTCCACACGTACGTCATCCCATTAATGCAAATGGGTGATGACTATTCTGAGGATGTTAGTCAAGGTGTGTAGGGAATAAAATATTTGGGGTCACATACAAAACTTTTTCATCCTAATTTGATTTGTTATTTTGGTTTGGCAATTGAGATTGTTTTGATTAATGGCGAAAAGTTAAATAAAGAAAATTATGTTTTATTGAGATACACTTAGTATGAGAGGCATAAGGAATTTTATAATGAGGACAAATCCAGTTGCTTCTTGATAAATGATTTGAATTATAAATTAGAAAAGTATCACAAGAAGCAAGTATTACAGTTGGGCTGATTTTGCACTTAATGGAAGAGTAACGTGTGTAAGCATTTTAAAGCATCAAGAGACTAATTAAATAATTAAACGAACCGATTGGGGAAAAATGAAAATATAAATTCATTATCTGTCAAAGATTGAAATAAGAGATTTTATCCCATCCACCTGAAAAACGTCAAAGTATTTCAGGGAATGCAAAATTCATGTCACTTGATTTCATTGACCATAGAAGAGATAAGCCTTATTTTATCATAGTACTATCCACTCTTCGAACCACCATTTTTTGTCTTTTGGAAAGAGACATTGTGGTTCCTCAGTAGTGTTTCCACATTATTGAATCAATAGTGCACACCCTGTGCATTGTACGAAAGCTAATAAATAAACCACACTATTTATAATTTATGAATAGTATGGCTTATTAAATTTTTCATATTATATATATAATACAGATCAGATTACCAATAAATGCGGATTTCATAATCTTCAACTTTACTTAAGGAATAGGTCATGTTCTTCTCTCTGGAAGTCCGATGAACAAATCAGTCTCCACATCCGGAGATGAAATATTAATTTCTGATGTGGATGCTGGATTTTCACTCAAATTTATCTGTCTTGCTTGCTTTCTCATCGATGCCAACTGCACACACCAAAATCAATGTCTTTCCTTCAAAAGTTAATTGTTAGGATATCCAGACTTAAAAGGATATAAGAAGCCTATCATCAGATAAATTAAATCAAGACTTAATAACTAATATAAAATATAGAAGAATAATCAATAAACGTGAATATTGATGTTATGAGTTAAGATGTAGTATCCTTCCTCCCGCTTTGTCCATTGCCCCCTAATTTCCGAGCAGTCATTCACCATTCCTACCACTAATCAATGTCCGTTAGTTCCCTATCTAAATATTTCCTTAGACTATGAGTTTGCACCAACAAGTGAAGGGAACTTGATTTTCTTTTGAATATTGTGCCCCCCCCAACCATAAAACCCAAGTAAATAAAATGATTTCCAGATGAAATTTACTACAATCTTACCTTCACAGAGAGCCTTGCATTTTCGTCTGTTTGGGCTTTTCCCTGGATTGTATTCAAAACAAGAGAAGTCGGCAATTTGGTTTTGACTATTTTATTGCTGGATAGTCAAATTCATAAATGAAGAAAATCCTAACCACAACTCATGAATCTGTTTTTCTGCATTAAAATGAAGAAGATACTACCAAATTTTAATTGTAATTAAACCCTCACTTATATGATCGAAAATATTGTATAGTTACATAAAAATCACAAACTAAAGAAATAAAACTTTGAAGCATGATGTAAAACTTTATATTATGAGCAACAATAGAACATGAAAATCCAAGGCAAACCATCACACATCACAGTAGTGCAAACCTAAATTAAATGTGTGTGTGTGTGTGTGTGTGAAGGACTTAGTTTAGTTTCACTTAAATAGCTTAAATCTAATATAATTTACACGCATGTTTGTGATTCACAATGCCTAGGGTTTAGAGTTTACAGGGTTAAGGAAAACAGTTTGATTAAAATTTGTGTGTGTGTGTGTATTGTTTGTTTGCTTTTTCTCTGTTTTTTTTTTTTTTTAAGTTTGTCGTTGGTCTTCGTTTTGAAACTATTTCTCAATGGACATCTTACCTTTTCTTTAAGTTTCTCCATTTTCTCCTTAAACACCTGATTCTGGAAAAATAAAATTTGAATTTAGAACTAAGAAAAAAAAAAACTTGCATCGTAAAATCATATATAGGTACATTATATTAAATCTACCTTCCTTTCTTGAACTTTTTTTACACTCTTACGCAGCTGTTCTTCTAACTCTTGCAGCTCTTGTAGGGAACATGAGTTCAAATTTTCTCCTGAGAGTTTCCTAGTAAATGATTGAAGTTATAAAAGCAAGTTGATTAATTAAGCTTGCATTATATAATGAATTTAAAAATTAGCAATTCATAGAGTAATTCAAAGTTGCTTTTGGAACCGTTTTGAAGCTTCAAGGCCATCAATCATCTTCTTCATGCTTGCTGTTTGTTGCTTTAGATGCTGTCATTTTCAGACATTAAACATTAGAGTATTGTGTTAATTATAAAGTGGTGTCTATGTAGGAGAAAAAATATATATAACAAGGAGATAGATAACACATATAAGAGCCTGGATGGAGATCCATATGAAAAATTGAATACTAATACACTAAAATACAGAACATAAAATTAGAATGTATTTTGTGATGAAAGATTTTCCATTGCAGAAATTTTATTGTACCTTCATTTGGGATGAAACAGTTTGTCATAAAATAATTTAGGACAAATTTTTCTTTTTCTTTTTTAAACACATTCCACCACATGTTCGCAGTGTAAGACCAATTATAAGCACACACATAAACAAGCACCTAAAACAAATTTAAATATTCCCCTATGTCTTATTTATAAGGCATTTTAACACAAAATCACATGTGGGTTAAGAAATATTGTTAAAATTACTATAATATTCACGAATTACCCTTAATTAGAACAATTAATTTTCAGAATCTTAAAGTCAAACATACCATCAAAATAAATCAATTAGATATGTGTTTTTTTTTTTGAAATAATTCATAAATGCTTCACTAAATTTTATAAAATATTTAATATTAAGGAGTAATAAAACTGCCAGGCTAGAAGATGTTTTATACTCACTCTATCTCATATTATAAGATACTTTTAAAAGAGATTTGATGTTTCAAAATATAAGAGACTTTAAAAGAAATAAAGTTTTATTAAATAGATTTATTTCAATATTATCATTTCTCTTTACTTAATTCACATTCCTCACTCTTTTCAGTATATTAGATAAAGTGTATTTTTAAAAGTTTATATTTTTATTTTTTTTAAAAAAATAAGATTGTTAAATGTATTTAATGAGATTTATTAGTATGTAACATTTTGTCTTAAAGTGTCTCATAATTTGAGATGGAGAGAATATTAAGTGTCAAAGGCAACAAACCCAGACGTGATGAAAAACCCATTAACCAACCATTGTTATGCATAAACATCATCTCTATATCTAGAACAGCGAGTTGAAAAATTCTGTTGCTGTATTTTAGAAGCGTACAGAGAATTTATTTCGTTATTGGCTGAGCACGAAGTAAGAGGCATGAATGTATAGTGCAGCTTAGCAACAGTTTCTTAATATAATGATCCATTAATTAATAAACAAAAAGAACATAAGAAAATAATAATTATAACCTCCATATTTTGTCCCAAGTATGGGTTGGCTTTTTGAGAATCTCTAACATAATTGCGGTAGCGTTCAATTGTCTCCTGCACGCTGTACAATTCAAGCAATTATTTTAGTAGGAATGACAATGCTAAAGGACATTTTAGTGTCACAAACACACACACACACACACACGCACGCACACGTTTACAGGAGGCACAGAAATGAAACGTATAAAATAAAAAAAAAACTAATTTTTTGCTCTTTCATGGAAAAAAGAAACTCTCCCAGAGGCCATTAAGAATGTACAACTCGCTTGTTGACAAAATATTACTAAAAAAGCAAAAGAAAAAATAAAATTTGAAAATACAAAAAAAGCTGTCAAACTTTTTTCATATAAATTAAAATATTGTTTTCATAGAAAAAGCTCGTTCTTGACATTTAATGTGTGTGTGGAATCTATGAAAAGCTATAACATTAATTGCAATAAGCAGTATGGTTCATAAATTCCAATGTATGAAAAAAACGAGAAGGTAATCAAATTACCGACAAAACTCATAAATATCAAGTTATATCTAGGGACAATGACAATAAAGTCTTATAATTTGAAATTTATGATAGTTAAGTTTCTGATAAAACTTTCTAAAGAAAATAAGTTGTACATATTAATTCAAATAGTTGCAGACCTAATAAATCCCAAATGCAAACTAAGTTATTTTTAAAATTTAATTGTACTATGTATATTTAGAATTCATGCATTTATGACTATCTGAATTAATATTTATACAACTGATTTTTTTAAAAAATTTTGTCAAGCCCTAACTTTTATAAATTCATTATTTTAGGACTTTAATGTCATTCTCCCCAATATCCAGTTCCCATTAAGCAATAGAAAAGGGAAAAAAAATAAAAAATAAAAAGGAAAGGAAAGAAATATATACAATAGACATAGCACAACAAGAAGATAGTAATACTCATTCGAAATTTTTTCTCGAAAAAACTTTGGAAAGATGTTTTAACGGAATTTCTCTCGAAAATGCTCTTTCATAAAATTTCTTGCGGACTTTCTTATGCAAAATAAAACAATGAAAAATTCTAGGAGAAAAATGTAAGAAAATTATAGAGAAAGTACCTATGTAATGGCAGGAACTTTTCTCAGTGTCAAATCCGTAAAATAGTTTTGACAAAAACAGGAGAATGGAAAGTGAAGGTATGCACATGTCCTTGAAGATGAAAGCATTTCTTTCAAACCGAAAGAGAAACAATCCCACAACTACAAATTAACATCAATCTATTCAATTACTCCTCACCAAATCCTCCTCTTGATTAAATGAGGAGAAACTATTGCTAAGTACAATTAAGTACATACACATAATGAAGAGTCTCAGCATCACATACTACACAAAGCGCACATGCCAACAGAAACCGCAATATGAGACTACCGAAACGACAACATGTCATTGTGTTTATCCTATGAATGACCTAACAAGGAAGAAGCCTAAGATTTTCAAACTGTTTTTTAAAAGAAGAAACCCTATCATGACTTGAATGTGCTGGCGGAGTTGCAAATACGATTTACATGGGAAAAAATAAAGAATAATAAGGAGCAAAAACCAACAAATTAAATCTCAACTGGTTTTACTGGTTGGAGAGAGCCAGCCTCTCCACAGGTGACATTAGTGACTTCATGCATATGTCTATCATTATGCCACAGTGCATATATGTTTAATTTGTGCCTTGAGAGGTTGTGATTTGTCGGAAGATTTTGTTGACAAGACTTTGTGAGAGTTTGTTTGAGTTTGAGATTGTCGTAACTATTAGTCTAATTAAGCACGTAATAATCTCCCTTTCTCCATGGTTGTGGTATTTTCTGTTCACTGAGAAATTTTCATCCTGTAATTAGTTTTTGTAGCTAGCAGGAACACCTTATATTTGAATAGGAAATCTTCTGTTCTGATGTTTAATTTTGTGCGGGTGTGCGTGTATATGATGATAGATGTTCCAAAAATTAAATTTAAAATATAAAAAATATGGATAAAAGATAACTGAAAATTAATGTCAATTATAACTTCAAAGTTTTATATCCCCGTTATTGCTCATACTGTATCACAGACATGATTAACTCTTTCAAAACTTCTATGACACCCTTTAGTTTAAGTAATGATAAAACTAGAATTGTTGTGTTTCTTAAACAAGAATCAAAGGAAGCTAATTATAGTTATAAGAGGAGTACAGATTCCCTTATTTTCCACTAATGTGAGATACTGAAAATAACATGGCAACAAAATTTCCCATTTTCCCAGTCTCACATCTGACATCTCTATTATGTCAACAAGTTGAATGGTCTTCTCATTTTTTTCAGTGTCTTTCTTTTTGTTCTATCCTATAAATGTAACCAGCTAAGGTATGACAACATAAATGTTGGGAGAAGAAATAATGTAATTCATGGTTGACAGAACAGTTTAGGACCTCGTTGAGACTTAGAGAGCCTATATGCTTCACAGGACAGTTTAAACTTTAAAGCAACCTGTCTTAATGGTGAAGAATTCTTGCTTATATATATAGGTTTAGGTTTCTACATAGGGTTTCATGTTTAAATTATTAGTTTATTTATTTGTTATAGTTAATTATGCGAAAATCTCTTGAGAGGCATTATTCGATGACAGTAGGTAGTGAAATTGGTGACCATATTATATTTTTTACTCCTGGAAGATATGATGATTATTTATGATAATTCTGGACCAAGCAGTATCGTCAATTCTCAACTTCAAATATTTGACTAAGAAGAATGTTATAATGTTAATCAGTAAATGTATAAAAAAGAAATATCTAAAAAGAGAGATCATCTTGAAAGATTGGTTGAGTTGAAGAGTTTCTTGAACTTATAAACCTCACTTGTTTTGTTGAGGTTTTCCCAATATGAGACTCATATCAATGCACCTTCATTCGAGAGTCAATATCTCTAGTGGCTTTACTTCATGATACTTTAAGACCAATGTTATGATCACAAATATAAATGAATAACTCATCCCAAAATATTAGCATGTTAGATGGGAGAATCTTTTGAACTTATATATATATATTTTTTTGTAAAACTTCTAGATGTGGAACTCAACAAAAATTCAGGGGATTATCTTCCTTCATATATGCACTTTCAAGGTCTTTTCATTTGTGTATTTTTTTGATATCTTTATAATTCTCATATCTTTTCTCATCTTTTGTTGATTAAAACATAGAAATAAATTCGTTATTTTTAATTTTTCACTGCTATTTCAAATATCAGTTCATCTTACTTCTTTATTTAAATTTTTTTAAACTACCCAAATAAAAGATTTTAAAATTTCAAATGTAAGATTTGAAATGCAAGAATTAAAATTTAAAATTCAAATTCAAATCCATCAATACAAAAGCTACCTAAGAAATTCAGCATGCCAATTTAAAAAGAAAATTATAAGAGTCCTTTTTAGATAGCTACCTTTAATTGGCCTCGACGGTAGGCAAATTTGACTCAATCAATAGCCATATATAGATATGTATAAATAATGATCAGGTGTACATAAAATACTTACAGCATATCACGAACTTCTAAGAGAAAAGAATGTGGATATTTTATGACTTTTAATAAGTAACTGTAAATAGTAGCAACCATGTCTTATTTCTTTTTTATTCTAACATTTAAAGATTTTTTGTCAAGAATTTGCGGTTAATATTTTTTATATAATTTGAAAGATCTCTTAGCTAATATACAAAACCTTTTTTTTAATGATAAACTGCATAGAGAAACGTATATTCTTCACTCATAGAAATAAGGTTGTCCAATTATTTTTGTTTAAACTTTACATCACAGCATATTTAAAGAATCAAAGTCTTCTTATAAAAAAATAAAGAATCGAAGTCTTAATTATTTTAACCACCACACATGAATTTACAAAATAATAGAAGAACAAAAAAAAAAAAAAACAGAACTGTGATTAAAACACTCAGCTGTGGAACTTATGTAACACAAATCAATTCTTATGACTGTCATTTATATACATTGTTGACATATAAATTAAATTATTATTTTAATAACATTAAATAATTCAGTTTAAATTATGTTAGGGTTGGATACTTATGATTAAAAACATGAATTCTATACTTGTCAAAATTTTCAATAGCATTGATAATTAACAATACTCAATGTTTCAACAGTTTATGAATATTTTATATTAACATAATAAGATCTGCTGTGTATCATAGAACTTACCACTCAGAGTTAGGGGGTGAGGAATGCAAGTATCACTCATCAATATCAAATGGAGAAATGACACAGTAATTGTAAATGCAATAATAATGGTTTAAAATTACAAATAGAAAAGGTACAAATTAGTTCAATAGATAATATACTTCAAAAACATTGAATATAAATTTTGCACCACTAATCAGGATAAGTTAAAGAATTTATATGATAAGTTTATTCATTTGAGTGATGTGGGGCAACTACATACCTAACAATCAAACTAATTAAGCACATTTCCTTGCTTCATATTTTACGCTTTTCTATTTCGACTGTACTTTTAGAAGATAGGTTCCTGATCAGCTTAATTAGCTTAATATATTTATGTTGGTAAGTCCTGCAAGTGCGCAAATCAAACTTGGATTCAAACTATACATAATTATGTTGTACTCAAAGCCGACTTTATTCCTAACTCGTGTACTGGCCTATATTTATTGCAAGAACTTTATAACTTGTGCACCACACTACTTAATTAACTCCCGCTACAAATGAGGAAAATTCTCAGAATCTACTGTGAAGGAAAATCTTGAGACAATATATTAGTTCACTTGACACATAAGTTTGCTTGAAATTTACTCTAAGTTACTGAAAATAAACTGGTGGAAAAGGATGACACAGATCAAGCAGTCACGTACAAACAAAAAAAAAATTGGCGATTGAAAAGAAGTAAAGTATGATTGAAGAGCATGAATTGTACCTGGAACTTGAAAATTCATAGAGTTTTCCTCTGGAAGAGAAGATGATGAGAGCAACCTCAACTTCACACAGAACTGAGAGTTCAAAAGCTTTCTTTAACATTCCATTGCGCCTCTTTGAGAACGTTACTTGCCTGCTTGATTTGTTCTCTATACGCTTCATCTGTATCTTCCTTCTCACCATCTTTATTCTTTAAGCCTCTCTCTGTGAATCAAATGATTCTCATTAAATTACAATTAACTCATTTGAGCAAGCTAACTCAGATCGATCCGAGTCCTCAAAGAAAAGCAAAAATTAACCCAAGGGAATTTCGCAGCAAAATCCAAAGCTTTGGATCAAGACTTGAAGACACACAGAAAGCTATATACATATATAACAGATTGAAAATACAACACATGCAATTAAGAGCTTAAATTTTATAACTCCTAGGGTTATAACTTAGAACATTCACACCAGCTAGAAGGAGTATTTCTGAGAGCAGGAAAGCAAAAGTTATACCTGCTGTTAATAAAAGGAAAAAGCCTAGAAACCTAGAAATCTCGGAGAGCTATGAAGGGACGATTAAAGAGAATGATCAATCATCACGGTGCATGTGAACAAAATGATTGAGGGTTTGAGAGAGAATTTAAAGAATCGAACAAAGAATAAAACGACAGCTAGCAAGCCGAAGCTGAGAGTGCTGATAACTTGCTCTTGTGTACAGTACAAATATGGAACGTACCTTTTCCTTATTAGTTAATTCAGAATATTGGTTCTTGTTTGCTGAAGCACAAAGGCAAATTTACTCTAGTGGCAAATCCAAACCCCTCATCGTTTGCTAGTTTTGGTAAAAGACAGGAAAGAATAACAAAAAGCAGGAGAAAGAGATCGATGAGGGAAGACCGTAGTGGAAAATTAATTAATAGTATTATATTTTATCGGAAAAGACTTGGTTGGGGCTCTTTTTCAGCGGAGTTAAAATAAAAAAATGAGTTTTATCGACAAAATAAATAAATAGTTGACCAAAAAAAATAAGAAAAATGAATGAATGAGGTCCATTTCATCCGTACAATCATGTACGAAGGCGCCAATCAAAATTCGAAAACACACCCTCTAGAATAATGGCCATTTATTGTACCACCTTATCTCATCACTGTTTCATTTATTCCCTCCCTTTTAAATTATAAAAATTTTTTAAAAAATTTATTCATTTTAAAATATAAAATACTTTAAATAAATTATTATTTTATTAAATAAATTAATTCTAATATTACCTTTTATTTTTTATAATTAATTTTTTTCTCTACTCTTTTTAATATATTAAATTATATAATTTTTTGAAAATTCATATTTTTTTTAAAAAATAAAATTATCAAATATATTTAATAAAATTTATTGATATATCAAATTTTATTTAAAAATATCTTATAATTTGATATGAAGGAGGAATGTTGTTTGAGAATATTATTTGTGTTTTGTTATTATTATTATTATTGTTAGAAAAACCAAGGAGAAGGACTCAAATGAGTAAATGACCCAATATTGATATCAACTCATGTATTTTTTAACCTTACTAATTTACAAAGTCACAGTAAGTCGTTTATAAATTTGAGTTGTACATAGACTTGATTAAATTCAAGAAAAACATAATTATCAATTTCAATAATTTTATCAGATTTTATTTTTAGTCTCTAGAGTTTGTTTTTAGTATTTTCAGTCTCTATAATTGTAAAAAAATTTTGTGGTCTTTATTTTTTAAGTCTCTATAATTTCAATTTTTTAAATGGTTTTAGTTCTTTTAAGGATTGAAAACACTAAAAAAAATTGTAGAAACTAAAAGCAAAATCCAATGAAACAATAGGGAACAAAGATTATGTTTTCCCTCCTCACAAATAATTCAATTAAGCTCATTAAACTCATCAATTTTTTAATCAAGTTGAGTGAGTTAAATATATTTTTGTACTGTGCAAGTCAGTATATAGAAGCGATAGTACCCAATTTGAAGGAAAAATTTTAAAAATAAAAAATTAATATTAACAAAAAATAAAAAATAAATATAAAAAATAAATTGTCTCATTTTAAAATTTCTATGTTGAATATGATAATTCATCAACATAGATGGATTTAATTTCAATGATTTAGATTTAAATATATTTAATCAGGTTATATTTTATATTTTAATCACTTAATCATATATCTTTAATGGTTATTTATTAATAAAGAAAAATTTTTATGAGTTTACGATCCAAATTTATTATTTGAGTTTACATTTCCCTCATATGTTTTGACATCCTTGTGCCAAATATCTTGACAAAAGTCCTAAAGGTAGAACTATCAATAAAGGAAAATTTTCAGTGAAGACCTCTAGACCAAACATAATGAAAAAGAAGACTCCCAAATATGTAATATATTACTACAAGCCTTGGGTTCTCATTTGATATTAATTTGAAAAGTCATATGATAAAGTTGCCCTATAGAGAGAAAAAGGAAAGTTGAAAGCTTGTGATGGAAGAGAAGAAGCGAGAAATGCTCTGTTCCTCTTATTCCCCCTCTCTTGCCTTCTCCAATATCACAAGTTAGTAAGTTAACTAAACTATACTATGATTCTGTTCTTTAATCTTTAGAAAAGTATAGTTGATTTTTTGAATAATTGATTAGAGGTTGGGAACATGAGTAGATATGATCAAGTAAGACTTGACTTCCCTCCCTCTGACCTGCCTTCTGTCTCTCTATCTATTTTGCAACTTATTTTATGGTTGGAAATGAGATTAAATATGATAGGGTGGTACAACTTCATTATTAAGAACTACCCGTGATGTTCTTAAATGATCTACTTCATTACATTAAACGACAAATGGTGAAAACATTATAAATGTATATTCTTTTTAAACTGTCATTGCAACTTTTTCACTTAGCTAAAGTTTCTTATGTTGTTGTAAATATGCATACTGCACTTGTTTACATGTCCAATTATAAAGTGCTCCTAAGTAATTAAATTTGAACGTCTACATGTACAAAGACTCCTCATAAATGGCTACTTGTTCAGAGAAGCAATTGCATTGCATTTTCTGTGTAAAGGGGGATTTAGAGTGTGGGTAGACATGTTATTTATGAGGGTGGTGTTGTATTTGAAAGATTGATAAATAAAGGGGTGACGTACAAAGGAGTCAAAAGTATTGTAGCAAATGATCTATGGCTTGAATGTAAGGATTTTTGCATGAAAGACGAAGTCATCCTAGCTGTGGATACATTATTAGCTCCTATAGATGATGTTGGAGTAGATCAAGTAATTGAGGATAACTAAAACCAATGGTCATGTGTACATTGCACAAGCATCACAGTTAGAGTTCCAAGAAGAGTAAGTTGTCAACTTTAATGAACTTGTTAATTTTTCTCTTTCTAGTTAACATACACTATAAATTTCTTTCATATTTATTAATGCAAGATAATGGAATTAGAAGGACTTGGGGAGGGAAGTGTAGCATCCTAAGAATTAAACTCCTGACAATCAAGTATTTAAGCATAAATAAGTAAGAATTATGTGGTTTGTGGTTAGATGAGACTAATGAGTGTCTTTAGTTAGGATTTTAGGTATAAATTTAGGTTCAAAGTAAAATTAGGTTACTTGGACATCAAAAAAGATGAAAAGCAAAGGTAGAAGGCCTCTATGCCATATGCTATAGTGCGTGCATGGTGCGTCATGACATACAGGACTAAGAGATAAGGAATAGCTTTTTCTGTACCATATGTCGCGACATGTGGTACAGGCGTTGCGGCTCACAGCACACTCTGTATAGAATTTAGACGTGAAATTGATGTAAAAGTGAAGGAAAAGAAAAGAGAAAATGAGAGGAGGAGGAGGATGAGACTTAAAGCTTTGCTAGGGCTTTAATCTCAAGAAGGTTAGAGGCATTTTAAAACTACCAAAGCCTAAGAGTAATTTTTTTATCTATTTTTCTTCCTTCCTAACCCATTTTCTTGAATTTTTTGGTTAGGGTTTGATGATGAAAAACCATTTTCAGTTCATATAGGTTATGGGTCCGAACTCATTGACTCAAATGAAGTTAATGAGAATTGTTTTGAGCATTCAAACCTAGAAATTATGGGTTTTGATATTTTTGGTTGGTGAGCTTGATTAACGACTAAAAATGGGCATTTAATTTCAATTTATGAGGGTCATTAAGATAGTAATGACACTAGAAATAATTAATGATGCTAATAGGAGCCATAGAGAGTTAAAATACTCAATAGATAAGCCTAATTGTGAGAAATGAGGGCTTTGAGTGTTTTGGAAATTGGAAAAGTGGAGTTAGAAGCGTGTGTTTAACAATATTGATGAGGTAGACTTGATTAATTGTAAATTAATTATATAGGCACCATATTTAGCTTGGAAAGCAAGATTGGAAGCATATATTAAGAGGTAAACTTTTGACCTCTCAAAGGTTTGAAGTAATCAGAGGAATCCTATCTTAGATAGTTGTTTATTAATTGAGTTTTAATGTGAATGTGTTTATTTTCATGTTTGATTGCACAGTGAATGTGAAAGCATATTATAAACCATATGATGGTATATAAGTCTTGTTTTGACTTGAAATATGGAGTTTAAATGATTTTCAAACTCTAAATATATATAAATATATATATATTGGAATGAGAAGTATGATGATATGTGATATGTGATGTGATGATTATATATTAGTAAAGAAATTGATGATTGAGTAAAGTGAAGAATATTTGTAAAAACAATATTAGTGCTCACTTAGGTAGTGTGATATCATAAACCCAATATGTTGATATTAAGTAATAAATTTATGAGATGAATGAGCTTATTACATTGCATGATCATTTGTCCTTTGACCTAAAAACAAATAGGAAAAGTCCATGTGACTTGGTCTAGCTCAAAATCTCCAATTGTGAAGGGTAGCCTAGCAAAAGACTTCCACACTAACTCTTAAACCATGAATTTCCCTTTTTTTAGATTTGAGGGGAGTCATATGCCTGACCCACACTAGTTTCCCTTAGAGAATATGTGATACAAGGTAATTTCCAACCCATATCATTTCTACTAGGAAGAGGACAAGACAATGAAGTGAACCAAACACTTAGGCCACTCACAGTGTTAGTAATACCATGTGATATTATCTATCCCCTTAGAGTAAACTCCCACTCATACACATGTGATCACGATAAAAATAATAATTGTCATGCTTAAATTCACAACAATTCAATGTTCATATACATGTGCTTAAGATTCAAGATGAATTTTCAATTAAATATTTCATATCAATACAATGACATTTAAAGAGCCACTTTACAATATTTTCTAAATTACAAGATATCATTTTCATATAAGCATACTAGTTACATGTTCAAAACTCCTACAAACATATCAACATGTATAGAGAGAATTAGGTTTGTTATTACCTCAACCCTTGGATTTATCAAGTTTTACCCATGGCAACCAAAACTTGAGTTTAATCCTTTCGCAAAAAACCCAATAATGTGATACTCTACATTCCAACACATTATTCATCAATAATCATGCCAACTCAACAAATTTCTATCTATTATATTAGTCTAAATATTGTAACACTCTCCGGGGGAAAAATCATCATAGAAAATATATACTCAAAATACAATCACATTTTGTTACAAA